GAGATGAGGGACTTTCCTTTATACGGAGACCAATATTGACTATCAATTTTTATTCCAACCTACCTTCAATTTAAGTTAATATATAACTAAATAACAAATCAAGATTTTATTTTCTAACGAAATTATACATAGTTAATATGTATCTGGCAATCTTTCTCGAGCAACACTAATCATATTCATATGTCTGAATTTATTATATCTCTATGTAAATTTGCACATATGAACACTTTAACCTGCATGAATTCTATCAAAAGCCTAAAATAATAAAATACACACTAAAGTTAAGTATTTAATTCATAAAATTACTCCCAAAAGCTATTTTTGATGATCAAGATAAGTATAATATTTACATTTATTGCACATTCTAGCAAGTCCACAGCGGTCTTCTTACCATTGTATTCAGGGAATTAATCCATGCACGTTCTACCTGTATACTGATTTCTTAAATTTGGCTCCAGAAATTCATAATATAATGACAAAAGTTTGAGTAAAATTAATATCGGGACGGCTTGCCTATGTCGTAATTACTCAACTCGAGGTGATAGTAATCAATTCATACCACATAAGCACAAGATCTAACATTTTAAATATCCTTTAACTGGGTTGTACACAGTGGCGGAGCCAGCACCCGACGAGGTGGCACGGCCGCCCGTACTGGCTCCACCGAGATTTACAGGTGCGGCCGTCGGTGCTCCATTACATTTAGACACAGTAAAGTTACAGGGAAGCAAACGGGGAAGAAGGTGTGTTCTTGGGCCATTTTTTGTTTTTAGATTCTAGGCATTTTCTTTATTAAAAGAGGAAATTACAGCATGCCCAAGTTTTAAAGTTCCATTTTCATAAATCAAGAATCAAGTTTCATAACACAGAAATCAGGTTTTAAATAATAATTAATATGTTTTAAATAAAATTTTATATATCATAACCACCACCGCCTTTTACGTTAAAACTGGAGAGAGACAGTTTTTAAATAAGTAAACACTATCTCTAGTAAATCTTCAAATCCTCCATCCCTCAATCAAAAAAAAAAAAAAAAAAAACCGCTAAATCTTCAAACCCTACATCCCTCAATAAAAAAACCCAAATTAATTCTTACCCAAATTCCACATATATCTATTCCTTTATTTCAATCAATATTCAAACTCTATCTAACATTAAACTCACGGTACATTGTTCAAGAAGAGCGAAAGGCGATGCAAAGGCTTGTGACTGAGAACTTTGAGAAATGGTGATAACAAGAAGTTGTGACCGGAAAGCACAATCCAAAGTTGGAGATGCATTTGGAACTGCACAAGGAAAGATTTTATGTTTTTGCAAATATTGTTGTTTTTGGAGACTACACGAAATTCTGAGATCGTCCTTTTATTTTTTAGCCAATTAGTGCATGCAGCTTTAAATTTTTATTTTTACTTTTTTTATACGAGCCGGACACGAGCTTTTTTGCCATCCCTACCAAGAAGTAACTCAAGGAAAGTTTTGTTTCTATTTTATATTAGTTTGTAGAACTAATCAGTTGAATTTGACATGCCAATCAATTGCATATTTTCTGCACATATTTTATATCGG